TATTTCTCTTTGCGCTGCGTATCTGTTAGAGAGCACATTTGTTGTGGATCGCGCCAAGTTCTTCGCAGGCGCATTGAGCGCAATGTCTGCGATGATCATGTTGGAGATGCCGCATGTGAATATCTTGAGCAAGATGGATCAGGTTAAGGGGGTGATTGGGAAAAGAGAGTTGAAGCGCTTCACAGCTGTGGACGTGCAACTACTAGACGAAGAGAACCAAGGCGGCGGAGGACATGTGGATGATGAAGAAACTGCACACTTCCCGGAGGACCCGTTGTCTACGAATGCACTGTTGAGTGGGAGTTCCTTTAAACGACTTAATCGGGCTGTTGGTCAGCTGATAGATGATTTCAGCATGGTGTCGTTTTTAAAATTGGATGTTCAAGACGAGGATAGCATTGGTAGTGTGCTGAGCTATATCGATGATGCGATACAGTTCCATGAAGCACAGGAACCGAGGGAGCCAGCTGATGAGCAGGAGGTGGATATGGAGTGAAGAAGGAATAGAGAAGGACGACTTGAATGTGACGAGTAAAAACAGATTGACCAATGTTTGCCAGTCTTGTCTACGGGGGTTTTGCGGGTTTGTGCTCTCGCAACCTCTGGACAATCAAATTATATATCCTTCTGATATTACCTAACAGCGCCAGGCATCCTTTTACCTCCTTTGGGAGCAAGGATAGTATCCATATCAAAAGAAGGTACCTTCCCAGCATCTGTGCGCAACCAAGCGGAAGTCGACTGGAAGAACGGGTTTCCTGTATTTGATACGATGGATTTCAGCTTGGAAATATATTAGTACCACCTATGAATGGTTTCTCTGCCAAGAAAACCTATTTATAATAACATAAAGAGTATACCTGCAACCTTGATTGCAGACTCGCAAAATCCAATCAATCAGCCAAACAAATGAATAGGCAAACATAGTACTGAAGTGGCCAAACAATGAAATGTTCTAACAACCTCAGCTCAATCAGGAGTATAATAAATATTTAATATGTATATATATATAGAGAAACCCCCCAAACTCTAATAATACCCATCAAATTCAAACCCAACTTGTTCGCTTCCTCCCTGGCTCCCGTCGCGTCCGCGAATATATCGGCGACGCACCATCCGTCCCTGCCCGCTTCCCATCCCAACTGCTGGCCAAAAACTCCTCAATAAACCCCTCAAGCACACCTAGTAGCCATCCCACATCCCTCGACGCCTTCTCAAACCCGACAACATATACGTAATACCCGCCACCAAGTATCGAACCCCAGAACACGAGCCGGAACAACAGTACGACCCAGAATGTGATGATGCGACGGGCGTAGTCGAGGATCCTGAGCGAGAGGTAGAGGATAACGCAGAGGATGAGGACTGAGGGGAGGTCTGGTGGGGAGTTTATGAGGGTGTATAGTGGGGAGATGACGTAGGGCTGTAAATATTCTTGTTGCACTGTGTAGAAGTGTGTGTTGAATGTGCTGTAGTACGAGAGGGCTTGCAGGGAGACCGAGGGGGGAATGTATTTGCTGGCGTTTTGGAGGGCGGGGATTATGTATTCTGTATTAATTGAGAAATTATATAAAAGTCAGCTTGTTTCCAGTTATCTACGTCTGCAAGAAATGTGATGGGGTGTCAAACGTACCATGCACCGCTTCCATGATGGCGGACGGCAAATCTTGCCGCCTATAGGTACAGAAAAACAGCAAAAACAAAGGCGCTAGTGGACCTTTTTGAGCGGTTATCCAAAGGAAGAGAATATGCGCGAGAGCAGTCCGCGCAGTCGCCGGTTGCGGGATATGAATCACAGTGACGCAAATGGCGACATGGATGAGTTTTTAAGTCAGGGAAATAATTCGAAGTCAAATGCAAGAATCACGAGGACTATATTTATAAGCAACAAAGACCTGTAAAACCCAAGAGTAATTTAATGGAAATGCAAAGTCTGGGAGGGAAAAGAAACACGGCTTTGTTGTCAAACAGTGCAAACAACGATCAGAAAAAGGGCCCCCTTGTCACACCATTCCCATTTGGGAAATACCTAAACATTTCATGAAAGCTTTTTTTTATTTTGGATATTAATAATGTAATTTCACATGATAACTAGTTAGTTATAAAAACTCCCACTTCAACAATCTAATTGACTTGCTTGGCTTCAACCACAAGGTCCCAGACACAGGGGCAAGCTCTGTCTAAGATGTGGCACTTTGTTTATATAAAACATGGTAAGAAGCGGCCGCCACAGTTCAACACTCCTTCTGTTACATTTCTTTACATATCTGTTTATATCTATGCATGTATATTTTCCACGAATATAATTATCCGTCAACTCCGTTGGAACATTGTTCTAGGGATACAAAATTATTTTCCACCGCATAATTGTGAAATGACGAGAGAACAGTGCTTTGCAATCGAAGTTGGTGGCCAAATACTTGATCGTCTGCCTTATTCAGTAGAGAGAGAAAGCAAGGGAAGAGTCAACCACCGTGAGGAGGATGTTCCGCGACATAACGGGTGTCCATATGTAAAGTGAGAAACGTGATGGAATGATTCTAGCTCCCCAGATTATTTCCTACTACCCTCGGCCTCAACGGTTTGAACTAATTATGATGAAGACAAAAGTGAGAGATGATTTTAGTACTAATTGACCAGAAGGATGGGTTGGATTGGATAAAAACACCCCATCAAGGGAAATACGGTTCAAACTGCCCCACCGCTGCACGCCTGCTGATTACCGTCCTGGTCGCCGGGAGTGAGTAGTGACAAACAGCGTGGTTCATCGACGAGCGGTGCAACTAGCTGCCGAGTGTGCCATTTCATTTTGACTCAATCCTAACGAGTAGAATGTACGGAGTACGGAATACGATATAATTATGGGTATATGAATACCCGTATATATATATATATATATATATATATTCACGAGAGACCATTTGATCTAGACCACTGAATAACCAAATGTTTTTGAACTGAAATAAATGATAACAGAACTGAGTGATCCTTAACCCCCATTCCGTGTATGTAGACGAGACTAACTGAACAAAACACCTCACCGGGCGACGTCCTTCATCAAGATGAGGCACTATGGCGGAGTGGTTAACGCGGTGCCCTGCTATTAATTAATTCTTCGTAAGAACATAGTGAGGCATTTCCTTCGGGAGCGCAGGTTCGAATCCTGCTGGTGTCGGATTTCAGAGCCGGTTGCTATTGTCCTTTATTCTTTTACTGTTTGTGATTGTTTCTTTTGCCCAACCCAGTCAACACATTCTGCATCAAAAGTGGTAGTGCCTCCTTTTCAGACGCTCATATCTTGATTACTGTAGGTAGCTCTTCGCCTTTTGTTGGTTCAGAACGAACTTGTCATGCTGATCTTGTCTCTTTGTCTCCTAGCCTTCTGACAAGAAAGGCTTCCGCGTGAAAGCCCTACAAATCATCATCATGGGTACAATTCGGCCAATTACTTGTCGTGATGCGGTGACAACCTCGGGAGTGTGATGGATTCTAGGTTGACTCCTTATCCCTATTGTAATAGATGTTTCGTGGTTGATGCGGTGGACGTGTTTAGCTCCAACCGCCAAACTGCCACGATCCGTAGAAATTACGCGGACTTCAAACTTCACCTCAAGTGAATTTCCAATTTGTTTCTTTTTGTCGTGATGCTGTCCTAACACAGGATCGAGGACGTCTGAGTGGTTGTCTTGGTAGCTATCTACTGGTGCTGTGTGCCGTGCGCTAGTCTGTAATAGGAAGCCTGGGCTCCGCTTTGTGAAGTTCTCGTGTCGTTTCCGCGGTTCGTGGCAATTTGGCGATTGGAGCTAAACACGTCCACCGCATCAACCACTGGACGCGTTTTCAATGAGGACCCTCCCTGAGGCCCTCAAGGGAGTTAGGACTTGGGGAAATGATTTTGGTATAATTTGAATCTTCCTCTATCTGCCTCCCAGCTCTTATTGAGTAGAACTTACATATTCGCCAGAGTGCTCGGGCGCTTGACTGTCTTCAAACCTTTACATCGTCATACGAAACCAAGAAGACGGTGCGGACGCTGAGAAGTGGTATATAGAAAGTAAACAAAAGTTGCAAAAATGCTCCAGGAAATAGCTAATTGAGACTAAATTCCCAGAGGAGATAAACAAAAGTTTCAAGAAATCCGCCCTCCCGCCCATGTGAAGCCCAACGAAGGGGGAAAAGAGATTTGTCTCCAAGATTAAGAGTATAGTACACCAATCCCCATAAAAGACCAACCTGAAGAACGCAGAATAGAAGTGGGAAAGAAACCGCCCAAATCCCCCATGCTATTTAAACATGCAAGTTTAAAAAAAAGTTAAAAGTACAACACAACCCTCCAAGAAAAACATGGGGGGAAATTAAAATCACAAAGCTGGACCAAATTATGTGACAAGTCAAAAAAAAAGAAATAAAAATGGCAGCTTTTGCTTTAAATGGATGCGCAGTATTTTCGCTGAAGACAGAAAAGGCAATAGATTCCCGTCCACGACAACTAAAAAAGCAACGCCTGGGCTAATGCGAGCAAAAATGCAAATGTCAACAGAAAAGAGGGCGAGGAAGAAACGTTGTGGAGGTTAAAAAGTGAAAGGTTGGAAGTTCCGGGTAGAGATGATAAGAGTAAATTTAGACAAACTGCAAAGGATTACAAAACTTATATACTCTGTACAGAAGCATTGGATGTTGTGTGCATGCATATATGTACGTGTATGTGGGTGAATGCGATATGTAATGGATGTCATGTTGGACACTGAATTGTATGTGTATAAAAGGTTCAATCAAAAATTAAAAAATCAATTAGCAATACGCAATTTCTCTCCGTCAGGGATTGGTATTTGATTGATAGAAGATGGCAGATGAGCATCCCCGGGATGCAGACAGCCGCTACCAGTTAGATGTGTAATTGCGAAACCTCATAGAAATTAGAATTGGTCGAGTTTGGTTCGATGCAACTGGATGCAGAGTGTCACAGTATATTTGTAGAGGAACAAAGTTTATTTAACCACAGTTGTATAGTGCAGCGGTTAGCACGCCAGATTCTGATCCCGGAGACCTGGATTCACAGTTCGATCTAGCGCAAAGCATATAAACCAAAATTAATTGGCTCTCCATTTTAAGATGAGAGGTGGACAAGACGGTTTTGTTTATTGCCGGGTGAACGTTTCGCGAGGCGGGGGGCAGTGTATAGAATGACATGTATCATGTACAGAAATCACCACATAAAGTCAAGCGGAAGCCGTGATTCGGAAGGCCACCGTTGAATAAAATCGGGAAAAGATCATTCTGCCGAAACCGAGTGTCTATGGTTTTCACGTTCTGCTTGAATTTGAGCCTGAAGTTTGCGTGTCTGGCGGAATGCCTCGTCTCTGTTCGAAATGAAAAAAAGTAAGTATAAATTAGTATAAGAAATAGATGGAAAACGGCAAAAATAAAACTGGTGTGATGCATACCTATCAAATTGCAACTCAGCAACTTCGATCTGTGCCTTATTCATACGGCTAACAACAGTTTCCATCTCCAACTCAGCATCACGTAGAGCTTTCTCAAGCTCCTTTACACGGGCTTCGACAGCTTCCATCTTAATCGCTTGGTTCAGCGACATTCCTTCTCCACTTGTTGTCATCGTAAGGCGTGGGGATCGTGTACCGGAAAAGGGAGAGCCGGGCATCATCGGGGAGAGCAGTACGGGACTCCTGACGCCATTCCTTGCGCGCCTAAGTTGGGCGTTATGGTTTTGCCGCAGGGTTTCGATCTCCAACTCGTGTTTTGCAACCTCTTCTTCGGAGGCTTGCTGGGCCATCATCAGAGCGTCTTCAAGGAACTTGAGGCGGGTTTGCATCTCGTTGATCCGGTTAGCAGAGACGTTTTGTTCGCGCTCTCCTTTGTCAATCGCTTCCCAGAGACGATGTTTCAATGCACTGTTAGTCGCCAATTGCTGCTGGACTTGTAGGCCAAGTGTATTTTTTTTGTCCGGGTCTTGGGCGTATGAGCTGTCAGCTTGTAGCTGTTTGTAAGCATTTTCCAGTGAAGAGCTGGATGCGGTGAAATCTGCCAGATCGTTTTTAGCTGCACTAGGGACAAGGATGTCGTGTTCCCGCAGGAGCGCACGGAGCGAACCAGTCTCCTGCTCAGCACGGTCTAGGTCCATTTTCAAACCGGCCAGTCCTTTCTCACACCTCCATTTTTGTTCCAGAGCCTCATCAGCCCGATGTCTGAGCAAGTTGATTTCTTCTCGTAGATTTATAACATCCCTTTCATAGCCGAGTCTCCGTGGAGAGCCTGATTGTCGAGCACGGTCAAGTTCTGCTTCTAGCATTCGGATTCGCTTCTTGTATTGTTGGGCTTGCCAATTCTGGCGTTGAAGGAGGCTCTTGACAGTTTGATGGAGAGCGTCCCGTTGTAATTCGACATCTTTCATCCGATCTACCAATGATTCTTTCAAGTCCCGCTCCTTAACAATCATCGAGGCCGGGCGAGAGCTGGGTTTGGAAATGGATCCCGATCGTCCTAAACCAGCCAATCTTGATCCTATACGCGCAAGAGAATTTGATCTCGACAGGCTGCCCCTTCTCGTCACCGACACCTCGTCCTCTTCAACTATCGATCTTATGCGTGCTTGTTGTTGCATATCTGACTGTATTTTCCTCGACTGATTTAATGAATTATTTTCCGTGCGCAGGCCTTGGGTATCTTGATGCATTTTTGCTTTAAGTTGCGGGACGATATAATCTCGAAGTTGGTCCCGTTCGTTTCGAAGCTGTTCAAGTTCAACTCGCATAGCCGTCAGCAAGTCCTCAAAGTTGTCTTTCAACTGTCTTTCCTCAGATAAACGCCGTCGAGTATCTTCCAAGGCGGTCTCCAGTTCTTTTGTTTTGGAGCTAATATTTGATGCATCCACTCTCTCGCGACGTAGCTAAACCGGAAGGAGTCAGTTATGCAACACACGTAAGTAATAAATATAGAGACTCTATCCATCATACCTGATCCACTTGACCCTCTAGAATTCGCACATGAGACTCAAAAGCTATCCGACGAGATCGTTCTTCCTGCCACTTTTGCGATAAATCAACCTTTAGCCGGGCTCGCTCCTGCTCCAACGTTCTCTTCATTCTATAGAAATCTTCCGTTTTGTTCCCGTCAACGTCACCGAGGGGGTGTTTTACAGAACTGGTTCCAGAGTCGGAGAAGTAATCGCTTGTCCGGCGATTTTGTTCAGATCCAACACCGGCTTCCAGCTGTAACCTCTCAACCAAAATCTCCAACTCCATCTCACGTCTGATGGAGCCTGCCAACTCGGAACTGATCTCGCGCAACTCATGTTCCATCTCCATCAATTTTCCATCCATTTCCTGCTCCACGATGGACATTGCCCTATCAGGCATTCTGGAAACAGATGCACCATACGAATCGTGAGAAGGGTAGCGTGACGAAATGGAGGAGTGGAAAACTGAGCCATTCAATGGAGATGGAAGGGACGAGGGCCCCGAATCAGAAATTTCGGTGCTGCTCGATTCCGCCCCAGGGGAAGACGTGGTTTTCCAACCGAAAAATGATGTGATTTTGTTTCCTGGTGTCTTTGGCTGGTTTCTGTATTCGGTTAAGTTTGACATTGTTCCTGCTGAATCCACCTGAAGAGGTGGACGCATCTGTGATGGAAGATGTAAAGTCATGATGACCGAACGTTTGTGCTCCGTGCTCTTATGGGAATCCTGGGCAGGGGTGGGAGACACGGGAGGGACTAGGGGCTCGCTGACAACGCGGGACTGAACGGAATGTTCGAGTTGTCTTCCATTCGCGCATTCGACAACGCCGTCCCTTTGTTGGTCGAGAGTGTTCGAAGAGGAAAGGACAGGGGATTGCCCGTGAGGGAACCTACGGGGTGAGCACAAGGGATCAGGAAGTGAGTTATTTGAATTTAAATAATGCAACTAGAACTAAGCCAATAAGGAGGCCGGAGATATGCAATCAATGAGACTGTCAACGTACCGATCGAGATCCCTAACTACGAGTCTAGGAGAAGATTCCTTCTCGGAAATGGGCGACGAGGGAACGGGTTGGCCGTTCAAACTATTACTATTATCGGAGGGAAGAAGGTTCGGGCCCAGGTGCGAGGAAAAGGCGGGGAGGAGTTTCCTGTGGAAAAGAGCAGCAACAATGGGTCGTTTGCCTGAAAGAACGGGTTGGAGTGAGAAAGGAGAAACTTTCTGGCGTTGTTGGAGCAAAGTCGACTGGCCAGAAGATGGATCTGATAGTAGGAAAACACTATTATTATTTTGGTTGGCGGAAGCGCTCGATGGAGGTGGACAGATAGACATAATTAACTAATAGTCAATGATTTTGAGGATGATTAACCAGTCAAGGGGGTTGACGATGTCCCTTAAGCCCCAAAGCAGAAGCGATGCATGCATGGACGAATGAGGATCTATTGGCGCCAATCACTGCAGGGAACAACGTCCGCCAGTGCAGTCATATCAGGGGAGGTCCAAAGATTATTGGCCCAGAGAGAACGAACCACTGCAAGGGCTATTGGTAAGAGTGATTGATTAGTTAGAGTAAGGATTTGCTCGAAGGCGCCAAGGACTTGCATTCTCTTATATCGTCTGGCGTGTAGTCTTGTGGGCTAGTGGATAGTAGAATCGCGAAAAGAAAAAAAATAAACTCTTAACGACAACTTCTGCACTGCTCCATAGGACCATTAAGCCGCGTTAAAGGCGGAGGCGTGCTCTAAACTGGAACCAAGGGGAAATGTCTCGAGTGGACCACTCAGTGAGGCAGCTGGCTGGCTGCAAGGCACGGCAAAAGCGGGTCAGCTTGAGGGTGAGACGAGGAATAGTGGACCCCTGGTGAGAAGTCTAGTGGACAGGACAGACAAGACAGCAACCCAAAGCTCAAGGTTCACCAGGCGAGCTCCAACAAAGTGGAGTATTCCACTCCGCAAATGGAATGGAACGAATGGAACCATGGAAGACACGAAGAGAATGCACAAAATCGAACACAGATATGATGTAATCCGAAACCAAGGGGAACGGAAAGGAACCGTTCTACGTACCGCTGAAGGATAACGATCGTGATTATGACAGGAGCGGAGTTGTTGACTCGTTACACGACATTTGCATGAAAGATCTAAGGGTGACAGAATCGTTCTATTTTGGGGACCGTTGCAAAAAATCCGGTTCCCCGGAGGTCGATGATTGTGGAAGCTTTAAAGCGGTGGATGCTGGTGAATATCAATTTGCGGTTGAAAGAATACGATATCATTTTAAAGCTTGCGGTCACTAACTCAGCCGGTTGGGCCAGCAACCTCATTCCGCGTTCTCTGTATATCTCAAGAAGAATTACAATTTTACATCTGCTGTGAATGCGTCATATTTCCCCTTCGGCTTCACTTGTTTACTCTTCCTGCTCTGCTGATTCACTCATCTACGGAAGTATAAACTTACAGATATCAACATCTCCCTCTAACTATGCTTTAAATCTCCCTACGCGCCCGCTTTGAACTTAGCAGGGCTACCATCAGCCAATGAGCAGAAACGTATTCAGAGGCAAACTCCCCAGATCCATGGCTCGGAAATATCCTCATCCTTCACAGTAAGACATAACATACATGCAACAGGGGGCAATGGGCGGAAGGATGTGAGAAACAAAATGAGCAGCCTATGATTCTCCGTACATCAGCACTTCGCTAAAACAAAATCCTCTGGAATTCTTCTTAGTTTGACTTTCTGGTTTGAAACAGAAGAGCAGCATCGGGAGCAACAGGACTGGCTTGCTCTATATACTTTGTTGCCAGGAATCCTATCCTTTTTCTTCTCAGATTGCCACTTGCTGATCTTTACCCCAATTCTGCCACTATTATGATCATCGGGGGACATCCTTCGGCTTACGCAGTAGTTCAACTGTTCCTCGCATACGCCACATGATCATCCATGTCCCTGGAATGGCGTTTTTTCCATTGGCAATTCATGGGAAGTGCTCCTCTCGAGTCTAATTGACTCCCCGGTTTTACGGATCCATTGCGACCTTTCTCCAGTCTCCGAAGCTCAGGGGAAACAGCTGGATCGGAAGATTTAAGTTAAATTCATTGGTGAGACACAAAACTATACATTTTTTGTTAACCAACCTCCACCGAACCGGTCTCCCTAGCGCCTGTGCCGATGTTTTGCGGCGCGTCTGTTTTGAACTTTTTTAGCTTGCATTGCGGAGAGCTGAATATATCTATCTGCGCACCGCTCCTCTGTCAATAACTACGGTTCCCAGCAAAACAAGATCCTCTAAATTGTATACATCTGCTTCGGGATTCTCCTCGACAAATTTGATAAAGCAAGATGCTTTTTCTCGTAACAGGATCCAGTATAAGTTAAAGTTTTTGTCTTGCAGCACGCACAATCCATACTCTATCTGTGCCTGGTTATATATATGTTGTATGTTGAAACGCGAAATCCCAATATTAAAACATATCCAAAATACAGGGCCAATGGTCAAAGGCTTGCGAAGGAGGGGGGGGAAAGCACAAAAATATAATACGAAAAAGAGAGCCGCGAGGTGGGCTTTTATCCTTCACAAGCAAGTATCACCATCTCCCATCCTCCACAATGAAGTGCCTCTATTAAATTAGATAAACCAAATGAACCGTATGTAATTGAAATAATAAAGAAAAGAAAAGAAAAGAAAAGAAAAGAAAAAGAAAAAGAAACACACCATTCTATCTGTCAAAAGAATACCTCAACCACTCCCCAACCGCCTTCAAACTCTCCCACCTAACCGTCTCATCCGGATCAGCCATCAACTCCATCACCCTTGTCTTGAGCCCCAGTCTCTCTAGCTGCTGTCGTCTCTCTGGCAACTCCTTCACCAGACAACCCACATCGTTACACGCAATAGCCAAAACCTGTTTATCTGCCTCCCAGTTCTTCGACAATATCTCAGCCAGCTTCTTGGGGAGCTGCCCGCGGTCTTCGTCGAGGATGCGGCGTGCATTCTCCCGCCAGAAGGTTGTGCTGCGGTGCGGTGGGGACCAGCGGAGATGGCCCGTTTGCACCTCTGCGGCGTATTCGTCGAAGGTCGTCTGCGTCTTCGTGTACTCCTCCAGCATGTCTATGAGGGCGTTGAGGTCCTCGAGTAAATCTGGATCTGTCAAGTGGCGGCTGCTGAGATTACTGAGGAGAGCTGGGAGGCGGAGGAATACGGCGATTGGTAGGAGAGTCATGCGGTTGGCGGAGAGGAGATTGTAGAGGGTTGAGAGGAGGAGGCGAGTTGTCTTTTCCTTTGGCGAAAGGCGGAGGAGTTGGGTGTATAGAGCCAGGATATCTTGTTCACTGAAAGAGGGTGTCAGTACAACGCATATGACTGATATATAGGGGTGTATTAGCTGGGACTAAGGTATCGTACGATTCAAGTTCTTCACCAACTAAGCTTCCCTCGAAGCTCAACTGCCAGATCACGAGGAGGATGTGATATAAGAGCTGTAGCCCCACTCCTCCACCAATACCTGACTCGATGTTGCGTGTGCTTGACGATCCACATAGTGTGGATGAACCATTATCCTTTGATCCCGCAGCGGCCCTGAGTACGTCCATCAGTGGTTCAATAGTTGCTTCCTTCTGACTCCAAAAGACCTCTCTTGATCGCTTAGTTCTCAGCAATGCTGAATATTGCTGAACACCAATATCCTGTAACCCCGTATCTTGGCTTTTCGTCAGTGTTGCGAGGTATGAGTAGAGTCGAGGAAGGGCTTCTGAATCGGGTAACGTAGTTTTCGAATTTGACATCAGAGAGGTTGACACAAGGCTAGTCAAGAAAGCAGACGCGAGGAGAGGTATGGGGTCCTCTGGGTTTGAGGAGTGCTGTAGGAGAGGTAGGTAATGTCGGTAACGGTCTGGTTCTTGGATCAAGGCGGACGCTAAAGAGGGAACATCTATGATGGTTGTCAGAATTGTGGCCTTTTCATGCTCCAAGCACCGCCGCCTGCTAGAGGACTGTTCTGCTGAATAATGATGGGAATTCAATACCATTGATCAGGTCCGCCGCCAGGACTAGAATGTATTGTACTATATCCGTCCGCCTCGATGCTGCCTCCAGTATGCTTTTCCCACCAACTCCTCCGACGAGCAGAGTTGTATAAGCCTTCATGTCATTCTGGACAGTTTTCTGTCGTGGCTCCCTTCGCACCTTGTCGACGGCTTTGATGCGCTTGAGCTGGTCTTCGGTGATGTTCCCAGCTCGAACAGCGCCCTCCCAAGGTATGGGCCGGGCACGGATGTTGCTCTGCAGGGAACTAAGATATGTAGGCAGGTCCAAAGACATCGTCACTGGGAAGTATTAGGATGCGTGGACGATGTCTTGTAGGCCGGGACGCAACACCATGGGCAATGTGAAGGAGAGGGGTGCAAAGGGCAGAGGGAAGGCAGCAGTCTCCTTTTCAAGCTGGTGTTCTGCTGACCAGGAACGGTGCAGGTGATGGCAGTGAAGGTTGGTAGCAGAAGTTGTTGATTATAGTCCGTAGTTCGTCGTCCGTAGTTCGTTAGGCTGAAGTTTGTACGGAGTAGTAGTTCTGCTGTTGATGTTTTGACCACCTACGCAAAGGCCGGCTGTGCCAAGACTCACCAGCTGTTGTTGAACCAACGGGATTGCGCAACCTCAACAACTGAGGGCACTGCTCAGCCCTCTTTCATGTCCCTGGGATCTGGCGGAACGCGGAACGGCGCTATTCATCATTATATCTACGGTCTGCTTAATACCCACATTGACCTTGGGGGTGTTCTGATCTCCTCCCCAGGCTTCTGTGCCGCGAACTTAAATAACTACGCCTCTACCTATCTATCCTGGCGCTTTCTGTGGCTGACTGGCGCGACCTACATAACCTGCATGTAGCAGCAGCCCTTGCTATTATTCCATTTATTAGACCACCTCACGAGAATACACCAGACCGGTTTGCTTGGATACTCCCCCGCTCAATGACAGTGCTATGGGACGAACGCGGGCTTGGGAGCTAGCTTTGAAGATATTCTGTGGACCAAGCAATACATCATGTCGGCAAACCCTCAGCCTCCGAAGAAGTCGGGATGGGGAGGCTTTCTCCAGCAGGCGATTGCAGGAGTCGAATCCAGACTAGACACGATCCTGGCGGACCAAGAAGAGGAATATGTAGCTAAAGATGCAGATAAAGGCAACAAGCAGCCTGAGCAACCGGCGCTACAGGCTGGGATGTCATTCGCGAAGCCTGTTCCCCCTGGTATGCGAAACCTTTGCTCTATCTATGCTGGGTGTGTTTTCTTGTAGTTAGACTAACCTACCCACAGCACACTCTAGAAGCTCATCGATTTCGAAAACGAATGACCGTCTTCAAGAAAGTCTGGCCCGGGTAATGGCTAAGCGAGAGGTCGCCACTGGAAGCCCCGTATCGACAATTGGAGTCTCTTCCCGCGCTGAAAGCCCTCTCTTTAGGGTCGATGGTCGAACGAGTCTGGATAGCGTCTCTGCTGGGGTAGATTCCCGTGTTGTGAAAGATGATACTGCATCAATTTCGTCTTCTGCTCCGCGTTCGAGCCAAGATATCCTTTCATCCCCGCGGAAGTCTAAAGAGATTCAATCGGATTCATCTGGGAAGCCTAACGGTCGTGGTATAGAGGATGACAGACGAGAAACTAGGCACTCAGTGGATGGAGATACCGACTCTTCAGCAGCCTCAGAAAGACATATCCATGCGATCGGAATGACCGAAATGACCAAAGTAACAACAACTTCTACGTCAGACTATGAAGAAGCTATGGCGCAAATGAAAGCGAACCATGAAGCCTCAGAGCTCCAATGGCAGGAAGAACTGCATGCATATGTAGAAAGGATAGATGCTTTGCAATCAAAATTAAAATATCTGGCAAAGGAAGCTGCAGAGTCAGCTAAAATTGCTGCAGCATCCGCAGGAGCCGGGACTCTTGAGAAAAAGCTTCTTGAAAAAGATGAGCAAATTGCTAACTTAATGGAGGAGGGCCAGAAACTTTCAAAGACCGAACTGGACCATCGAGCAACCATTAAGAAATTGCGCCAAAATATTGCAGAGAGCGTG